CCAGGCTCCCATGATAGTGTAGTCTCTGGAAGGGGAGAGCTGTTTTGTCTGTGGGGAGATAGGCATCCAAGTGCTGGGGTGCGCCAGTGGAGCAGGGCCCCAGTGAAGAAGACAATGAGCCAAGAGTGATACCCTTCCCACCACCTGCTCAGGACTCTGGCTTTTGTTGAAAGCTCAGGGAAGCAGTGCTCAAAGTTTGTCCTACACACTTCAGAGACGTCAGCTGGGAAAGCCAGAGAGGAGGCTCCCAGTGTCGCACCATCGGCCAGATCTGCCCCTGCCTGCCACTTTCTCTAGTGACTGGAACCCTTCAAGCCCCTCCCACACCCCAGAAAAGGCAGGGATAGATTAAGTTCTCCCTGACATATAGTGCCATCTACTGGGAAAGAGGAAGTTCTACACCAAGGATCCTATGTGATCTTTGAACACAAAGCAACCTAGAAACCTAGAAAGCTAGTAGTGTGGACACAAAAAATTCAACAGATGGCACCATAAGTGCTCAAGGGGATAGTCCACCACAGAGAGAACAAATCTACTGAAACCAGCCACAAAGATATGGAACTCTTTTCTTCCTATCAGATACACAAGTCAGCCTTCTGTTCATTCTCTTGTCCCTTTGATCTATTCATGCTTGAAGGTCTTCTGGCAAGTGTTATGTCAATTCAAAGTTCAACCCTCAGAAGTATTCTTCTCTAGCCCTGGTATAAGGGAAAGTTTGTTACTTTCCCCTCAGCTACTTTGTCTTCTGGTTCAATTTAGCAACTCAATCCATTCATTTCTTTAAAAAAAAAAAAAGATTTATTTATTTATGCATACAGAACTGGGATACAGGCCAGAGGTGCAGGGGCGGTGAGAGGCTTCACCAGAGACAGAGTGGGGAGCAGAACAGGCCAACTGACGAAGTACACTGCTGAGGGGAGCAGTGGGCTGGTCAGGAGAGGTCTGCCGCGCCATGTGGGTCACCTCCAGGGCGGGGATCAAACTCATGCTGAAGTGCATTTAGCTTCTTAGTGCTGTGCTTTAACCCACTGCACTACCAGGGAGGGCCCAATCTGTTCGTTCCTAATCTAATCCTGCCTGTCAGTTTCTGTCCTAGAATTCACTTGGAATGAACAAATGTTGCTTCCAGATCTCTGGGGGGCACCAGCCTCCATTACTGTCAACATCTCAGTGGCTCTAAGGCCACACTTTTGAAGTGCATTCTAGATACAGTTCATTTGGAAGCCTTTGTGGATCATCCCCTATTACCTACTCTTCCCTCCCCCACCTTCCTATGAACCACAGCTTCTCATAGGCTCATAATCGCATCAAGCTCAAAGGGATGCAGATCACCTTACTCCCGCTGAATATTTCTGTAGTATCATCCCACCTCCATACCCCTACTCTCAATGAGAGAGCTTACTTTTACATCATTTTTTTCAGTGGAGGGATTTCCCCTCTAAAATATGTTCCTTCTTAAGGTGGTGACCTTATTGGTAGAAACACTGCAGGAGAATAAGACTGGATTTGGGAAACATATCTATTGTCTGACTCTAAGATACAACCTCCAAGAAGCTTGGGATTTTCTTGCCTGTTTTCTTCATTGTGATACCTCCAGCACTGAGCATATAATCTATTAGGCAATAAATATGTGTGTGTGGAAAGAATGAAGAAATAACATAAACCAATAAATAGTGTCTGGCTTGTGCTATTGACACTGGGATCCAGTGGAGGATTTTAAGCAGGGCAAGGTAGCAATCAGATTTGCAACTTATCAAATGTGTTTGTTATGAAGTAAACATTTGTGTCTTCCCTACCCCTACATCATATGTTGAAACCCTAAACCCAATGTTATAATATTAGGAAATGGGACTTTAGGGAGGTAATTAGGATTTGATGGGATCATAAAGGATGGGAACTTCATGAATGGGATTAGTACCCTTACAAGAGTTTTGAAGAAAACCTGCTTCCCCTGTAACCCATCACCACCTGATGGGTTGCTATAGCAAAAAGACAGCTAAACAGGAATTGGGCCCATCATTAGATACTGAATCTGCTGGCAACCTGAAAATGGACTTAACCACATTCCAAACTGTAAGAGATAATTTTCTATTATTTGTAGTCAGTCTGTGATATTTTGTTATAGAAGCTCAAACATACTAAGAGAGTCTTCAAGTTGTCACAGTCATCATAAGCAACCGTCTGTATTATCTACCAAATAACTGTTAAATTAACTCTCAGTTATACTGCAATGGGAGAAGTCACTATTGTAAATATTCAAATCCATGAATAGCTTCCTGAGAACAGCTGAGGAGATATCACACCTAACATAGCCTCCCCCTCTCTCTTACAACCTCTGTTCATCTCCTCCTTCTCCAATACTTGGGTCCTTAGTCAGCTAAAGGAGGTAGCCATTTAACCATGCTAGAAAATTTCAGTTGAGATCTGGATAACCAGCCCACTCTTGATGTAGTATTTGCATTTCATGCTTAATATATCTATAACATTACAAATTTCATACTCCTACATTTCTACTGTTATAATCATAATACTATTTTGGTATTTCTCTTTTGCAAGTAAAATTAGCATTTCCATATAAAATAGAAAAATTGTTGATCATCTTCTTATGTGTCCAGGGGCTTAATCCCAACCTGAAATTTAATTTTTCAGTGCCTGAAATTTAGGTTTTTCTGTGTACTTAAGTGATGCTATGGACTTATGCCTGAGTCTTTTCATGTCAGAGAATGACCTGGTTGGCTTTTTCTTTGGTAAGGCAGAAGGACTCTAAGACAAGAGATACCCCTGAGAACTTTTGCTTGAGTTACCTTTTAATCCTTACCCACAGAAGGGCAGAGCATGGAGGTTACTTTATAAAGAAAATACCAGCAATCCATGGCCAAGTATGCAGTATACAGAGTTTGAGGTTTAGTGGCTAGTTCTCATCTCCAGAGCAGAATCAAGGAGTGTCTCAGGAAAAGGTTCAGAAGGAAACAGAGCCCCAAACACATTCCCATAAAGATCACGACAGTTCCTCCTGGCATTTAGGAAGATTTCTCGTAATTCTGTGATGGCTGTTCTTATCCTATGGAATCTTGCCACCACAGAACTGGTGTTTTAGACAACACAAAGAAACCTAACTAACAGACTTCAGGCAGGATCAGGGACAATAGAACTTCTCAGATAACTTAATGTCTTAAATCTAAAAGTCTAATTCCAAATTTAAAAATCGAAATATTATTCATTAAATTCCTTTCAGCATGTTAACAGTGAGGAATAAATTGAGAATCTATGTCCCAATTTGAATGTTCCCATTCAAGAACCCAGTCTGGGAAGACTGTGGCAGTTGGAAAAGAGGACAAGAGGTCAAATTCACTGCCCGTCAAACTCAAAATTAGTTCCTGTATTGTTGTGGATGGGACTCTGGCTTCCATCTCAGTCGACAAGCCCCAAATAACCTAAAAGATAGTGTAGGGGGTAAGGGCAACTCTTGCCCCAGAAGTCATCAGAGAGGACAACAGTGAGAACCTGATGCTCCCCTCTACTTCCAAAGCTTTTCTCTGGTCTTCAGCCAACTTGCATGGAACCAGAAATTTACTCCTGCTTCAATCTACTCATCTTTACCTACTCTTTTTCAACCTAGCCAGTATTCCTTTCCCTTTGTCCCATCCCTTCAAAGCAGGCTCTGGGCTAAGGGAGTTGAGAATGTCTTTATGTGATAGTCTTTCCATCCTATTGCACTATCAGCAACTCCAACCTACTCCCAAATGTCAGAAAATTGAGCCCATTTTTTCCTATGCTAAGAAAATGTTCTGTAAATATGTGCTGAACAAACTACATATTAATATATGCTAAGAAATTTTATTTTATTATTTTAAAGATGTATTTATATATGCATACAAGAACTGGGGTACAGACCAGAGATGTGGGGGATGCTGGGGTAAGAGTGTTCACCAGAGAGAGCATGGGGAGCAGAACAGGCTGACTGACTGAAAGATTCTGCTGAGGGGAACAGGGAGACAGGAGAGGTCTGATGCATCATCTGGGTGACCTCCCTGGCCAGGATCTAACCGGTGCTGCAGTGGCTGGTGGTAGCTTCATAGTCCTGATACTTAGTTCCTTGCAGCACCAGGAGGAAATGCTAAGGCAATTTTAAAGGAATAATATGTTAATGAAATTATGGACAATTTTTCTATCTTTAGATATTTTGGTGTAGTGGTTTATTATTTATGTAATAATAAAGAAAACATTTTCTTCTGAGTATTTTATAAACTCATAAACATTTTTAAATAAAATATGTTTATATTTAAATAATTTTATATAAAACTATTAGCTTATAGATAGCCTATCCCTACAAAATACATATTCATATAAAAATTCAAAATACATGTGAAAATTCAAGAAAAACACTTCACATTTCCAAACTATACCCTAATTATGTTTCAACCTTTTCTGTCCCAGCCTAGTACCAACTACAAGCATGATAGGAGAGTTGTCTCCCTCTTGCTAGAATATAAGTTTTGTGAGAGCAAAGCTTATATTTTTGTTTACTGCTATAGCCCTTGTTCCAAGAACAATGCCTGATAAATGGTAGTCATACAATGAATACTGCTTACTGAAAGAGTGTACATCTGTATGTGTCTTTATCCAAAGAACAATAAAGCAGTCAAGTGGAGTCTATAAGAATGCAGATGTTACATGGGTCTGCTTACATATTAATAATGAATAATGTGTAGCAAGCATTTTTTTAAAAGATTTATTTATTTGTACATACATAACTGGGGTACAGACCAGAGACTCAGGGACGGTGAGAGGCTTCACCGAGACAGAGTGGGGAGCAGAATAGGCAGATCCATGAAGTACACTGCTGAGGGGAGCAGCGGGCGGGTCCAGAGAAGTCTGCCATGCCATGTGGTCGCCTCCGGGGCAGGCAGGAATTGAACTCATGCCATGTGGTCGCCTCCGGGGCAGGCGGGAATTAAATTCATGCAGAGGTGGCTTCAGCTTCTCAGTGCAGCGCTTTAACCCGCTGCGCCACCAGGGCAGGCCTAGTAAGCATTTTTAAGTAAATATGTTAGGCATTATGCTGTCTCGCTATGTTAAAATATGATGTATGCACTATAATTAATTCCATTTTTTAAAAACCAGGAAGAAACTGGATTTTAGAGAGGTCAATATTATGATAATGTATCTTTTTTAATTTAGCAGAGCATTAAACCATTTTCATAAGTTATTCTTTATAATAAAATTATAGCATAAGACAATGTTCAAGTTCTCATTATTTAGAGTCTCAAAGACACAAGGGAGTAAAAGAGCTGTAAGAAGGATTTTGATTCCTCAATCCTAGTATGTGGCCAAAGCAGCTCAGATTTCTTCTCAGAAGGCAAATACAAACATCTGCAGTAATATTGCCCCTGTCACAAGGTTCTGATGGGGGAGAGTTAATAAATGATTACAAAATTCTTTATAAATACAAAGTGCTGTAGAAATGCAAAACATCTACAACAACAGTAATTAGCTCTAATCACCATCTCTTTTCTGTGTGCAGCTGTCTCTCAAAATTCACTTAGAGAGTTTAATCATCCCATCTCAAAATATAAAGTAACCTCCCTCTGTCTCAGACCCTACTTAGAATCTGTCCCCTCATTTCCCCCAGCTGCTATAAAGCTTTTTCCTTCTACCCCACCCCTTACCCAAACCCTACACTCATTTTACTCCCAAATAATTAGCATATTGACTTTAAGAAGAAGAAAAGAGTTCAGACTAAACATCAGGCATTTCAAAATCCTTGAATTTCAAAGAAAATGGTCACAAGGGCCTGAAAAATATACAGGTATTTCAAGATAGAAACTCCATGCCTTCCCCTATCTAGGAAGGAAAGTTTCCTTCTGTCTGAGTTCCGTTAATGTTTAGGTAACTTTACCCCTTAGGAACAACAAAAAGAGTAACAACTGAAGCCAAAATCCACTAGAAGGAAAGAAATAATAAAAATTAGAGTGGGAATAACCAAAATGGAAATTAAAAGATGAGTGATAACAAAAGCTTTTTCTTTGAAATGATCAACAAAATAGACAAAACTCTAAGCTCACTAAGAAAAAAAGAGATCAAACTTTATTTTCAAAATCAAAAGATATCTCAGGAATGCAGAGGATCCTAAGAGATTACTATGAACATTTTCATGCCATTAAGTTGCATAAGCTAGAAGAAATGAATACATTTTTAGATGCATACAGTCTTCCAAGACTGAATCAGAAAGAAATGGAAAACCTGAACAGGCCAATAACAAGTAAGGAAGTTGAAACAGTAATCAAAATGTACCAAAAAACAAAAGCCCAGAACCAGATAGTTTTTGTTTCACAAATGAGTTCTGCCAAACTGTCAATAACAAACTAAAGACAATCATCCTCAAACTCTTCAAAAAAAAAAAAAAGAAAGAAACTGAAGAAGGAAAAACCTTCCAAACACATTTATGAGCACAACATTATGTTCATACCAAAAACAGAGAAGGACATCATAAAAAGGACATCACAGGCCCTCGCTGGTGGCGCAGCAGGTTAAAGTACAGCACTAAGAAGCTAAAGCCACGTCAGCAAGAGTTCGATCCCCACCCCAGAGGTGATCCAAGTGGCGTGGCAGACCTCTCCTGGCCCGCCTGCTACTCCTCTCAGCAGTGTACTTCAGTCAGTTGACCTCTTCTGTTCCCCACTCTGTCGCTAGTGAACCCTCTCACCGCCCTCTGGCCTGCACTCCAGTTCTGTATGCATAAATAAATACATCTTTTTTAAAAAAACAAAAAAAAAGGACATCACAAAAAGTAAAACTATAGGCCAGTATTCCCGAAAACAAAGATGCAGAACTTCCTCAACAATATCTCAGCAAACCAACTCAGCAATATATTAATATATATTTAACAACATGTCAAAAGGATCATACATCATGACCAAGTAGAATTTATTCTAGGAATGCAAGTATGGTTCAACATAGGTAAATTAATCATTGTGACTCACCACATCAACAAAAAGAAAATAAGCCATGATTATATCAGGAGATGCAAAGAAAGCACTTGAAAGCACATCAAAGAAACCATAACTAGAGCAATTAGGCTAGAAAAATAGTGGTAAATCTTTGTCTTATACCTGACAGGTGGTTATCTTTACCTTGTACCTGACCTTAGAGGAAAATCTTTTACTTTTTCACCATGAGTATGTTAGCTATGGGTTTATCATATGTGGCCTTTATTATGTTGAGGTATATCCCTTTGACTCCCATTTTCCTGAGAATTTTTGTCTTAAATGAATGTTGAATGTTGAATCTGGTCTTGTGGATCAACTGTTAGATATTGTTGGAAAAAAAAATTGAAGAAGACACAAAGAAATGGAAAGACAGTCCTTGCTCACTGGCTAGAAGAATTAACACCGTTAAAGTAGTCATCTTACCTAAAACAATATGTAATTCAGTGCAATCCCTATCAAAGTTTCAATGGTATTCTTCAAAGAAACAGAACAAACATTACTGAAATTTTAATGGAACCACAAGACTGAAGAGCTAAGGCAATCCTGACAAAAAAAGAACGGAAGTATCACACTCCCAGACTTCAAACTATGCTACAAAGCTATAGAATAAAAATAGACACACAGACCAAAGGAATAGAATTGAGAGCCCAGAAATAAACCCACACTTATACAGTTAATTTATGACAAAAGAGCCGAGAGTATACAATAGAGAAAGGCAAGTCTATTCAACAAATGGTGTTTAGAAAATTGGATAGCCACATACAAGAGAATGAAACAACACCAGTATCTCATATTATACACACAAAACAATTCAAAATGAACTAAAGATTTGGGTGTAAGATATGAAGCCATAAAATATATGGAAGAAAATAGGCAAAACATTGCACTGGCTTCAGTGATATTACTGGGGACTCAAATATGGTGGCAAGAGAAACAAAAGTAAAAAGTATGCAAATGGCCTAAATCAAGCAAGAAAGTTTTGCACTGGAAAGAAACTACCATTAAAATGACACCTGTTTGAACTAGCAACAACAAATGTTTGCAAGGATGTGGAGAAAAAGGAACTCTCCTGCACTGCTGGTGGGAATGCAAACTAGTACAACCACTATGAACTCTTTGGAGGTTCCTCAAACTGCTTAACATGGAGCTTCCCTACAACCCAGCAATCCCACTCCTAGGTATCTATCCAAGACACAAAAACACTGATTCAAAAAGATACCTGTACCCCCATGTTTATTGCTACTTTAGTTACAATTGGAAAAACATGGAAGCAACCCAAGTGCCCAAAAGTAGATGACTGTATTAAAAAGATGTGGTACATATACACAATGGAATATTACTCAGCAACCAAAAAAAAAGAAACACATGTCTTTTGCAGCAACTTGGATGAAGCTGGAAAAGATCATGTTTAGTGAGATAAGCCAGAAAGAAAAGGAAAAATACCAGATGGTTTTGCTCATAGCAGGAGTATAATGGACCAGGTGAGAAAATAATAAGAATAATGAACAGCCATATACCAGAGACATTTGGTGGGGGTGGAGTGGGGAATGGGATCAAAAAGGGGGGGAGGGAAGTGCACAGGACTATGATGATGGCCCACGGGTGACTTGGTGATGGGAAACCCACGGGGATTACAATTGAGATGAAAAAAAATGATGTAAAAATAAACTATTATATTATAAAGAAAAAAGATGACACCTGTTTGAAAGGGCGAAAACATATGCACATCACACACATCTGACAAGGAGCTAATACCCAGGATCTAAGAGAACTCACATAATTCAACCAAAAAACAATGCAATTTAAAAAATGGGCAGGCCTACATTGATATTTCTCCAAAGAAGGCATGAAGATGACTAATATATGAAAAAAAAATGCTTATCCTCACTTACTGTCAAAGAAATGAAAATCAAAACCATAAGAAGACCTATCCATGAGAATGGCCTATATCAAACATACCAGAAACAATTAAGTTGGTGAAATTATGGAGTGAAAGGAACCCTCATTCACTGTAGGTGGGAATGCAGACTGATCTAGCCCTTATGGAAAGCATTTTGGAGGCTTCTTTAAATATTAAAAATGGATCTACCATGCGATCCAACAATTCTGCTACTATGTATATATCTAAAGAATACAGAAACACTAATTAAAAGACATACATGTACTCTTATATTCACTGCAGCACTATTTAAAATAGCAATGGTATGGAAATGACCTATGTGCTGAACAACAGGTAAGTGGATAGAGAAGATGTCATACATCACACAATGGAATACTGATCAGCTATAAAATAAAAAGATGAACACTTAACCATTTGTGACAACATGGGTGGAAATTGGATGTTATCATGCTAGCAAAGTAAGTCAGAAGGACAAGGACATATACTTAATGATTTCACTCATGCAGGATGTAAAGAACAAAACAACAGCTAAAGGCTTGAAATCTGACCACAGAATGTAGTCAACCATAGTGGATCACAGAGTGAGGAACAAAGTGGGGAGGGGGCTCACTGGACTATGACAAAGGATCAAGGATGCTCTGTTGATGGCATGGAATGGTAACATGGAATGTTGATGGCATGGAATGGTAAATGCAAATGAAGAGGTTTGAATCTATACCCCAAGCACACGGTGTTATAAACCTCAATAAGAAATAATATATATTTTTTAAAGGGAGCAAGAAAATAAAAGGGCCTTCCTTGGTGGTGTAGCACTTGGTTTGGAGTGCTGCACTGCGAAGCTAAGCCAAACTGTGGCTGCTTCAGTGTGAGTTCAATCCCTGACCCAGAGGTGATCCACATGGTGTGGCAGACCTCTCCTGTCTTGTCCACTGCTTCCCTCAGCAGTGTACTTCATTGATCTGCCTGTTCTGCTCCCCACTCTGACTCTGGTAAATCCTCTCACCTCCCCTGCAACTCTGGCCTGTACCCAGTTCTGTATGCATAAGTAAGTAAATAAATCTTAAAAAAAAGAAGAAGAGGAAATTAGCAAAAAACAGAAAGAAATATGAGAAGGAACTGTTCATGATATAGGCAC